TACAGAGCGACTGTTGAAATTAAGTGTATCGTAAAGTTGTATTCGGAAAGAATAAACCAGTTTTATGTAAAGAATGGACTTAAAGTTTCGTCGGAACGAATTTACGGAAAATTAACGAACGAACGGAGACGTAACAATATTATCTATGAAAAAGTAAATTATAACCACTCTATCGTTAAAAATATGGAAAAATATTCAAAGGGTGTTTATATTCTACTTATTTCATTTATTTTTTGACCCACTGATTGAAAGAAATGTTATGTATCCCAAAGAATTACACGAATTTCAATGTTAATGAAAGGTAATCATTAAAGTTAATTTAGCAGACGTGTTACACTTGTATGAAATGAACCTTCAGTGGAGGTGAATATTTTTGATGAATCAGTAATTGTAAACGTTTTCATACCAAAAACTACCAAAACATTTGATAAATATGCCAACATAGTGTTTGTGTTATGTGTAGAAGCAACTGCATGTATCATAGTGAGGAGATATTGTATGATATTTCCATAATCAAAACACTTTGAAGATATTCACCAGAGCTAAGTGTGGCAAAGGAAAATATTGTCAAGTGGTTGGCAATGCAAAATTTCCAAGTGACTGGAATTCAATTTTGCATTTAGATCAGAACAAAATGGAACTTTTCAATTTCCTGTATCAGCATCTAACCAGACAACCTCCACCAGAAAAGGAAATATACGTTATTGATGAACATAGAGTTCTTTCTCACAACCAGAAATTGATTTGGAGTATGTTACTATGTGCACAGGAGAAGAAGGACACGAGGATTTCTTTTGGATGCTTATGATACAACAAGCAAGACAGCTAAGGAAATTCTTCTAAGAATAGTTAACACAGATGCCTTAGTACTATCTGTTGGATATTGTGAGGAACTTGATGTGTTTGAGCTCCGAGTTGTATTTGGCACAGGAAACGGGTTCCATTACTTGATATATACCATCTGCTTCTGTTATACCAACAGCAGAATCACGATCCATGTTTTGCATCTTTATTCGTTGTGAAACCAGGAGCTAGTTTCTATGGTCGGGGAAGTCAGTACGTAGTATGGAAATCCTGGAGTTACACCAGCAGCAGAGTCACTACTCGTTTTTCACATATTTGCTGGTTGTAATACCAAAAGCTAGTTTCTATGGTAGAGAAAAGTTTACAGCATAGAAATTCTGGAGGTATTGTGTCGCTACTCATGTTTTACTAGCCAGAAAAAAAACAAAAAACAATCCTCCTACACAAGAAGCCTTGGTACAGAAGATCCACAGGGAAGCCTACGAAGGTGGAAATGGTGAGGCCAAGCATTCGTGGCCTGTTTTTTGCTTCCAAGCCCTGATGATTGGGCATGAAATATATAACCAAAGGGGGTGACAGCCTCTTTATGGACATCACTGCCTGAAATAACTATAAATTTTCGAGAACTTATCAAGTTTTAGTGAAAAAAAAGTGCAAAGTCAAGTTGCAGTTGTGCCAAAGAAAATTTAAGTTGCTTAGACCTTTGTAATTAACTGTGTTTGCAGAAATTCATAAATATATATATATATAATGTACACTGAGTAATCACAAGTAAATAAACACCTAATTTTTCGT